CGGTCACCATGTACGTTTAGTTTGATGATGTCCCTGGAGTGAGTTCATGAAGGATTATTATGCTAAACCCTGCAGGTGGATTCAATTCCGGCATAATATGAATGTGATGAACGAGCTCTACCTTCGATGAAATAATAATAAATTAATTACTTCTTGATTGTCAGTAATCAAAATAATTAATTGACATTATATCTTAAACATGGGGAGATAAATCGAGTAACTATTATTGGAGTCTCAATTGTAACTTGAGCTAGGAAAAGGAAGTGCAATAATATTATGTTAGTGGTCCATTTAATATTATCTAATTAATTAGAATGACTGGGCTGACCCACAAGTATTTTAAATAATTAAGGAGCCCTAATCCTAATCTCTTAAGGGTTCCTACTGTAGCTCTATATATACATCATTAAGCTCATGGGAAGAGAAGAGAGATCAGATAATCACACGCCAATTCGGCCGCCCCCCATCATCTCTCTCTCAGTTCCCATTCGAGCTTTATCTTCTTCTTGTTGTTCCACCTGTACAAGATTAAGAGGTGTTTGAGATATACAGTAGAATATCTTTGGGTAAACCAAGACGAAATATATTTTATCGTACTGAACTAAACGGATGTCCGATCAAAACGTGCAGCATACCCAGATGACCGTCTTGACGAGAGCTTTCGAACGCCGCCGCGATCGCAGTCGTCCGATGCCGAACGCGCCCTCACGCGCCGCAATAAGCTCCCAGGACTACAACTTAGTCTTCTTTCGTTTGCACCCGTTTGATCCAGTTTTTGATCCGATCTTGTTCGTGCAACCCTAGGACGCGATTTGCAGTCTACTTTTCATTGGTGTGCTGTGTACGGTCATCCAGAAGATCAGCCAGATCGCCATAAATTTTAAGCTTTAATTCTCTATGCAAACCTTTAGATCCTCTGCGCATAGGTTTACGTTTTGCTATTGAATTCGTGATGTGCATAACGATATCCTCATAGATCCCAACGCGCCCGACCCGCGACGCGCCATCGGCAATCCGCGACATGCACCTGGACCGACCCCGCGATCCAAACTGGCGACCCGAGCTCGAAACCGCACGACTTGATTCCGATTGGTGATCCCGATGTTCCGTTCGTGATACAATCCAGTTTGTGTGTTTGTACGACCATCCGGAAGATCAACCAGATCGCCATAAATTTTAAGTCATAAGTCTTCTACGCAAACCTTGACTTCGTGATATGTACATAACGAGATCCTCATAGATCCCAACACGAATCATATATGACCCAGTGATCTCGAGGCCCGATTCAGCAATCCTAAAGATAGTCCAGCTGCTTGATGGACTATGGGGTTCATACGATCTCCTACAGTGAAAATCAGAAACGTCTCAAAGTCGGAAAAATTTGAAACCGTAAGTCATAATCCTAACTATAGATTTCACTGCGTAAGGATTTAATTCGTTAGATTCGGGCGTGCATATTGTTTTGTTCATTTTTAGCGGGATAAATTGGTAACCGAGTTATCTGAACTCGGATCGTCTCTGAAAGGAAGATGGTTAGGAGCTCCGTCTATCACTTAATTGTCCAAAAGCATAAAAATAGCACATAAAAGTCCTAAACATACTAAGCATGATGACTGGGGTTGAATTAAGACTAATTAAAGCGAAGAATCGAGAGCAATAAGTAAAAATGCAAACTTTCAAGAAAGACGAGAACTTTGGTTATTCGAGTCCCCTTGACTTGATGGAAATGAAAATAAACGAAGTGAAACTATGCTAGCAAAGAGATCCTAAGTAGATAAATCGAGCATTCTTAACTAAATCATCACGATTTGAACAAAGTAGAGACTTTAAACAATATAGACATTAATTTGTCTTCTAACACTCAAGTACGAAAAATAAAGCAAAGTCCATGAATCGAGCATTAATACATGATTTTAGCCAATAAACAAACTCAGCCCTGATAAATATCATAAGCAAGAAAGAAAGTGATACCCTTGGAATTCGGGTCTTGGTTGGTAGCCTTGGAACTCAGGCCTCGGTTGAAATGACTGATTTTGAGGATGTGCAAAGGCTTGAGGCAGGGCATAGGCTTGAGGTGGTGTCGGTTGTGGCGCATAATTCGCCTTCGGGTCCCTCCAAGAAAAGTTCGGGTGATTCCTCCACCACGGGTTATAAGTATTCGAATATCGATCGTTTTGGACTCGGGGAGCATACCCTTGTATGGCGTTGATATCAAACTGGACCCCTTCAAGATTTGGGTCATACGTCGGCTCCATATACCTCGGGAATTCATGGGCTCCATGCCCCATTTCTCCACAACTTCCACATACCTCCGCTATCGCTACTTGAGTCGACTTTACATTCGGTAGGCGAAGGTACTTGAGTTCTTCCAACGAGGACAACTTGGCCAAATTCGCCTCATTTGTCGAAGAGATGGATGTAGGAGCGGTTTCATTCACGGGAATTCACTTTCGGACACTCTTCCTTTGGGAATTTACGCTCAACATCTCATACAAGTCATGGATCACCTCCTCCGTATGGCTTGCTATATCTCTTCCGGTCGTGTGATTCACCATGTATTGAAGCGTTTGATGAAGGCCATCGTAGAAGAATTGGTTTAAGACACCGAAGCAAAAGTGATGATGTGGGCATTGGAGTTGACAGCCTTTGAACCGTTCTCATGCTTTGTGGAAAGTTTTTCCCGGATTTTGACTAAAACTCGCCATTTGAGCAGAAGATCCGTCGTCTTTTGATGAGTAGTACTTCCCATGAATTTCTTGTAGATGGCTTCCCAATTGGTAAGCGAGTTCGGGAGTAGAACAAAAATACACAAAACACAAAAACACAAAACCAGATAGACCGGTCTACACTAAAACGAACCTAAAAGGACACGACTACGACACATAAAACACACGAATAACACCACAAAAACACAACAAACAGATCTAATGACATCGCTAAAAAATTCTATCAACATGTCAAACATAAACTATAACTAAACGTCAAATACAAATTTAAATCTTCCACAACAATAATATATCAAAATATATGAAAACATTTCTCCCAAAGATCAAGACATCATAAACCATATGTAAAGTGACTATAAACTACAATAAAACCACGAAAAAATTAAATTTACACCATAATCAAACCATCGATAAAGGCATCAATTAAGTCTTTATCAATTAAGTCTGTCTTCGTCTTCGGACCATAGAACAATCGTTCGGC